TTTTTTTTTTTTTTTACTATGCGTAAAGGAGGGCAAAATAATACGCCTACAGTGGGCTCTCAGGTGACGAAGTCCAAATAGAACAATTCTTGCAGATGAGCAGAGCTCAAAAGGAAGAGCTTACTTGTAAAGGATAACAATTTTCTTATTGTCTTTGACCCCTCTATTCCAAATTCTTGCAGTTTATTTTTGTAAAGCAGCTTAGGTGGGGGAAGGGCGTACGTGTGTGTGGATATGTGGATGGGTGTATATGCTCATGAATATGAAATTGTAATCACGTAGTTGCGTCTGTGCCCACGTATGTGTCCTCTTGCACATTTCTGCGCACACCCCTGGTGAACGCGCTCTCAACACACTTTGGGTTATGCGTTCGAAGCGCTTCCATACAGTTCCAATTGAGCAATTTTATTTCTATTTTCCTTACATCTCTTCCTGCACAGCATTGATTTCCCATAATTTCTCTGGGGTTGTTAAAAGGCAAATTAACGTTTTAATTGAACCTAAAACATAATCACGTGTGCTGCTGCTACCTGACAATGGGTATGTTTTTTTTTTGTTTTTTTTGTTTTTTTCTTTTATTGGTTGTGTGTGTGGGAAGTATCTATGTTCCCTTTGGTAGTAAATTCAATTAAATAAAAAAAACTCGAATTAAAAGATTTATATCACATTTAATTATAATTTTATGACTAAATTCATTCTTTAGGGGTAAACATAAGAACAGTGTATGTGTCAACTGTCAGTGGTACATATATACGTAACATTTTTTTTCGTTTTTTTTTTTTTTTTGCGGTTTGGTAACGCTCATTGTAGATGTTTAAACAACATCCCTACGTGTAACAGCAACTATCTTTTTTTTTTTATTTTTGTGCTGTCCAAAGTCCCCAAATTAAATTAAGTAAAATTTAGTAAAATTAGGCAAACTTAACAAACAATGCCGACACAAAGGGTGTCTGTTTTTTGTTAATTTATTTTTGAACCATTAACACAGTGGCCAACTTTTCACACTCTTAACACTTTCTGTGCTTTAGCCTTTTTCCTTACGCAAAATTTTTTGCCATGGTCGTGCAACTCTTGCGCAATTTTTGGCGGTTTTTCATCAGTTCTTCGGAAGTTTTCCAACATTTTTTCAGCAGTTGTTTTCAATTTTTTTCAACTTTTCCTACAAGAATTCCCGCAACCGTTCCCGCAGTTGACCGCGCAGTTGTGGGGGAACAACTGCGAAAACACTTTTTTGCGCGGGTCGGGTGCCACTTGCTTAACATGAATGTGCTGAGCGTACTCTTTTTCAAAGTACGCGGGTGTACCACGCAGAAAATTCAGTTTCGCAGAATAATCCAATTCTACGCTGATGAGGGGGAAGGTCGCGCGCGAACCATTTGCACACTCTTATGATGTCAACTGAAAACAAACAATTTTGGCGCAGCGCACGCGTGGTACATGTTTATATATATATGCGTACTCGAACTTAGGAACGTGCGCGTATAAGCGCAAACGTAACTGTACATGACATAGCAACATCGTTTACACCTTTTTCCCTTCACTTTTCGACTGGGAAATGCTTGCAAAGTACACGCAATTTGCCTCTTATTTATCATGCGCCAACATGTTCTCTTGGAAATGTTTTCTCCTCTTCCCCTTTTTTTGCTTATACAATGCTGTGCACCAGCTGTTTAGCAAATTTCCTCTTTTCCGTTCGTGGAAAAGTTCGCTAAAATGAGCGCTACAAATGTGTACATATGAAAGTGCTCTTTTCCCAAGATTGGATCAATTTTCCAAGTTCGCGCAAATATTTTGGTCAATTGGAAAAGCAGCTCTTTTTAGCTAGCCCAATGCTGATTTTTTTTTTTCTCACATTTAACCAGCCGTATTAATGCTTCTTTTTTTTTCCAAATAGCAATGTCAAGGGGAGACTCACGTTTCATTTGGTCATCTGATCATTCGACCAATCTGTGCACCTCCCCCCTTAGAATTAAACCTTAACTATGTTTCACACAATAAATAAAAATCCCGAGAAAAAGGAAAAGGACGGTGGTAAGCGTTAAATTGATGCCCCAAACTTGGAAAAAACCACGTCAATTTTGTAGACATTATGGACACGCCCAAACAGCGCCGAGGGCAAAAAACAGACAATTCGAAGGAGCTAAAGTTTGACCACGTTGCGTAGCAAAAATTAAGACGTAATAATGGTTAGCCAAGATCGAATTCGCATAAAATGTGTGAATGAAAAAGATTAAGCTATCTGTCCATCTCGAACGAGTAGCTGAAATGTTGACTGTTCAGGAAAAAATAACAAAATTGTTACCTGATCGTAAAAAAAAAAAAAAAAAAAAAATCTAGCTATTTTCAAAAAAAGCCACGAACCTGTGTGCATACATATGAAAGAATACACTTCAGCTATTTTATTTTTTTTATTTAAGATTTAGGCTAAAAAAGAAAAAAAATTCACGTTCTATGCAGAATTGCTCTGCTCGCAAGCGAGTTCCCCTTTTTAATGTCATGATAAAACTATTCTTAACGATTAAAAAGCTTCTTTAAACGTTTTCTTTTTTTCACTCTCTCGCCACGTAAGAAAAAAGGAACCCTTTTAACGTCAGATATATTTATATTCATTTCATGGAGGGGAATCCAAACAAGGAGTGCCACGCAAAGACCATTTTGAATAAATACCCTTTTTAATCTTTAAAGTGCGCGCGTACATTTAAGGCTCAACAAAACTGCGCCGCGTTGAAGGGGTATTCTTCGGGTTGAAGCATGATTTGTCTCTCCCAGTTAGCCCCTCCCGCTTGCCTCTCCCGTTTACCTCTCCAATTCGCTTCCACCATTCTCACCATGCGAAATGTCCTGCTCAGCGGCCCATTCATCCCTGAAATTAACGTCGGGTATAACGTGCAGGCGAACGGGGTCAGCATTAATTTCTTAAAAGACCCCTTTTGCTTCAGGGACAAAAGGATGAAAATCGTAAATTCTAAACGGAGTGAAAGGGATCCCAGTGAAGGGGCCCTTCCAAATGGTGAAAATGAAGACACGGTGAACCCTTTGATAACCCTGGAAGCGACTGAATTGCAGGGATGCGTTTATCAAGGTGGCCGAACATTTGGGGGAGCTGCGCCATATGAAGATGGCTTAGCATATGAGGATGGGTTAGCATATGAGGATGGCTTAGAATATGAAGGTGGATTGTCATATGAAGATGGCTTGGCATATGCAGGTGGCTTAACATATGCAGGTGGCTTACCACGCAGGAGCGGTCGTTTCCCGCTTGACGAATCCAGCAACATACCCGGGGAAGTGAAGAATGCCTCTCTCTATGACGAGAAAATGAAGTATGCCCTGCAGAGCGCAGAAAGGGAAAGGATCTTCGAAATGCCAAAGCTGGATATAAGAAACAAATAAACAGTCTTGACAAATTAATACAGGTGCATAGATATAGCAGTTAAAAAATTAAACTACGTTTGTGGAGGAAGTGTCCCCTTTGATTGAAAAAGTTGCCTTGTCTAGAAGCAAACAAAGTGACCAATTGTGTAATGTGCACAGGTACACACAAGAATGCGTGGACACAGCCGCGCTTAAAAAAAATGGGCGCACACTTGGGGGTGGGAGCACATTTTCAGTGTGTGCACCTGTGCATGTAATAGGCCTATGGATAAATTAGAACCTGCAGATGGCGAGGGGGGTATCTCACCGTTTAAGAAATGGCACAACAAATTTTCATGCATGCTGTTAATACCCCTTTTTTTTAGGAGAACAAAAAAGAAAAGAAAAAAAAAAATGAGTGTACAGACAAACGAATAACGCGCCACGTTCGCGCTTTCCACACTTTGAACTCTCGTCAAAAAGGAAAGCGGCGTGGCAGTTTAGGGGGAGTTAAAAATAGTTGTTTAATAGCTGAACAAAAAAAAAAAGGGGAGTCACCTTCTCGGATGGAAGCCACCCTCTAGCGAGGTAGTCCTCCCCACCCATTCGCGATTCCGAGGGGCTCATCATTTTTGCCTTTTTCGAAATACGCGCTGCGTGTGCGTTTACCCATATAAGAATACGCCTTTGCGCAGCCTTCACCTGATAAGCAGCTAAACAGATAAACAGCTAAACGGATAAGCAGCCAAACAGCTAAAAGAATACATGGTTGGGGAGATAGCTACCCTTTGCAAATTTGCCGATTCCCGAGGGGGTGAGCCCCGATCATGGCTCCATCGTATGCTTGGCTAAAAAGTCGGTTAACTTAAATGTCACTTCGTTGATTCTCTGCCGAAGGGGGAGCAGCGAATTTGTATCTTCCGTTGAGATGAACAGAGCATTTTCTTTAATATCTTTGGGTAGGTTAATTTGATCCCAGGTAGTTAGGTCCGCCTTTGTGACAACATCAATCCAGGGTCTGAAGGGAAATAACCCCCTGAGGTAGTATCGAATGTCTATCTGTGATTTGATGGAGGAGAATTTATGGTCATCCTTTTTCAGAGGATCAAAAATGTACATAACTGCTGATGGAATATTTTTTAATGAGGAAAGGGAGAGTTTCTCCATAAGGTTTCTTTTCTCTTCAGGTCGATTAATTAATCCTGGAAGGTCCATAATTTGTGTTGTGAATACATCATTTTGGTTGGTAAAGGAATAGTGGCCTAAATTAAATTCCTTAGTGGTGAAATTATAATCAGCCACCTTAGATTTCGCATTGGTAACAGAATTGAGAATACTGCTCTTCCCTACATTTGTGCACCCTATGATGGAAATGGCTGGTTTGGTAATGTCTATATATTTAATTTTTCTAACACGTTTAATGTACGAATTGTAAATATCTAGCCATTTCCTGCCTGACTGTAAGATGATATTCAGATCTACAATAGCTTCGTTCAGTTTTGAGAAAATTTCTCTGCAAGTTTTTAGATACTTCATTTGTCCTGCGTAGGTTTTTCCCGTCAGAGTTATCAATTTTCTAACTTGTAGAATGTTATTAAGGACGTCACTTAAGGAGTTGGGTGCTTCTCCCTCTTTGTAGAAATTTGTTATTGCATTTTCATACAGGCTGTACTGAAATGGGTGTAGATATTTCTTTAGATTTTTGTGCACATTGTAGATGTTGTTTAATGGGCGGGAGAGCATCTTCGTGTATAGGTCCACCTTAATGCAGCATTCTTTGCAGATTCTTTTTTTGGTGTGTTTTTCTTTATTTATATTGTTGTAAATGCTGGTGAGTTGTAGCTTGATTTTGTCCTTTTTGGTTCCCCTTTTGGAGCTTGCATTTTTGGACCCGTCTTCCTTATCCAGATCGACGTACGGTTCTGCGTTCACAGTTCTTTTGTCCACATTTTTAATTAAATATAAGTTTCCCTTTTCTATAAATTTCAGGTACAGCAGTGCGTCTTTAATTACCTTTATGTTGTCCTTAAATTTGGGTAATTTCTGAAAGATGTTCGCGACGTATGTTTTGACGTGGGCCTTTTTTTCCCTCTCTTTGAATATGCTGCTGTAGTCTTGGGTGTCTTCGAACTTCATTCTTTGGATTCGGTTCGGGTCATCTTTGACTAGCAGGTTGTTGCTTTGTTCCTTCACGAGGTCGCTGCTGGGTTGGGCGGCCTCCCCACTGCCGCTGTCAGAGCTGCTGGCAGCGATGTTGTTGTCAGTGCTACTGGCAGCCTCGCTGGACACATCTGGGTCCCCCTTACCAAGACCTGACTCACTTTTACTCAATTTGAAATGCTCATAAATGCGGGAAAAACCGTAAAATTTTAGGCTCTCCACGGGGGTACTTTTGCCCGTTTTGTCACTTTCTTCCTCGTTCGCCATCCGCAAGGGGACGTTCCATTTTTTCCTCCCCCCATTTATTCCTTTTACACAATTTACGCGTTTTTCCTTTCTGAAATTGTGAGAGAACGAAGGGGCGTATTCCTTAACATAAAGAAGAGCGTTTCTATCGATTCGGTTTTGTCTGACAGGGGAAAGAGCTTCGTGGTAACAAATGGTTGCTGCTATTAGGATGGCCTTGCAGACGATTATCATTTTTTTTTTCTTTTTAAAATTATTAACCCTTTCTGCATTCTCTCACCAACGGTTTTTAATTCGATAAACTTTGCATTGGCCTCTGCCTCCCCTTTCTGTTCACTCGTCCCCATAGCAGTAGATCCGTGCGCACGTCCGAAAATTCATGCGTATTGACACACCTTCCAAATTCATATGCGTGTGCATTCACACACAGGAGTGTATATCACACGTTGAGGCATAACCGGACGTTACATTATGCGGTCTTAATGCTCACCTTTTTAAAGCTCCCATTTTTTTTTTTCTTTTTCGCCCCACCCTTTTCCCAGATGATTTACATAACTACACTGCCAAACTACAGTGAGGGATGTACGTACATATACGTATAAGTTCGGAGGAGGGAAAAAAAACATGCTGGGCGATTTTTCATTCGAGCGAAGAAATACATCTCCTTACGGCAGCAGTGAAAAGGATCTAATTAACGGCGCCATTCACATGTGGTTCCTCATGCGTCGTGGTTTCGCCATTTGGAGATAGCAATCGAGGGAGGTAAACTTGGGGATGGCAATTTGGAAAGTAGCAATAGGGAACTATCCATATGGAGATATCAATTTGGAGATATCAATTTGGAGATAGCAATTTTGAGATAGCAATTTAAGAATTGCCGCTTGGCAGGTAGGCCTGCTGGAAAAGCGCATACCGTTGCGTACGTACACGCCAATTTTTCACGCAGATTTTTTTTTTTTTATGCATTCATATGATCTGAAAAATGGACCAACAATTTTGCATTCGCCTGAGTATTTTTTGTCGCGTGTCCGCTCGTTAATTAACCCATTTGTTCGTTCATTCCTTTGTTTCGTTTTTTTCTCCTTTTTCATGTTTTTCGCGTTTTGTGTTTTTTTAATGTTTTTTCCTTTTTTCCCCCTTCTTTTCGCCTTTTTTTTTTTTTTTTTGCGCCTCTCCCCCTTTGGTCACCTCGCAAGGCACAATTGTGTGTAAAACAGAAACCCCCAGTTTAACGTCTGGACGCCAAATTTAATTACAACTTTGAGGAGGCGGAAGAAGCGAAGGGAAGCAATAAAATGGACCCTCAACTGTACTCACGTTTGAGGGATTAACATGGTACATGAGTACACCCACCGTGCGTTTGAACTATTTCCGTGACTGTGAGAGCCCTCCTGGGGTGCGAAAATATTCCATTTGAGCAAGAGAAATTACGTAAAACAATGCGAACCAGGGCAACCTGGTGAAATAGACTAATCAGAGGAAACAGCCCGGACAAACCAGAAAACAGGAAAAGCGGCAAACCATAATAATTTTCTATTTTCCGTTTAGCGCCTTCTGTTTTACGTTTTCTTCGCCCACCGGCCCCTTCCTGCGTCACCCAAACAGCATGGGAAACACCGTTCCGTATAACTGCTACGAGCGGTGGGGGAAGAGAACCCCAGATGGGCCCCTCTTAAACTACGATCAGAAGACGGTAAGCAGGCACACACGCGATTCCGTGCTTCCCCGATTGGTTCGTGTGATGCGGAATGTTCCTAGCAATTTTGTGTCCATTTCCCCCTTTTTTTTTTTTTTTTTTCGCTAGCCAAACAACGGATCGCTAGTAACCTTGCTCGAAAACTTTAACTACGAATCGGCCGAAGAGACATACAGCGGAAGTGCCAAAAAGGGCCACGCACCAAACCAGGGTTACCAGAGGGGGGAAAAACCCAACAGCAACGTCAACGTGAATAATAGAAGCTACAACAATAACGCGAATGTTAACAATAATGCGAACTATAACAACACAAATCACATAACGCCCCAGGTAGTGAGAAATGCGAGAAGGAGACCCACGTATTCACCAACGGCGAGGAAAATAAACCTGGAAACGGAAGAAGAGGAAGAGGAGGAGAAATTATCCACAGACAATTCAGATGAGCACATTTCAGCCAAAGATATAAAAGAGGAAAAAATAAAACAGTACAGAAAAACGTTAACAAAAGTTGTAAAAATAAAGACAGCAATTTTTCACGAAACTGTTAAAGTTACTTGCTCAAAGGATGGAAAGATGTTGGAGTGGTACAAGGGAAAGGCAGAAGGAGACGGGAAGAAAAAACCCATTGGGTCATTTTCTCTAAATAAAATAACTTCAATACGAACCAAAGTAGACAACCTCAAATCGCTAGAAATAGCAGTGAGTAGTGTTAATATAAGTACCTATTTGTTTATTTTCAAAACACGAGAAGAGAGGGAAAGCTGGCAGAATAACCTAGAGTCTTTTACGAAAATTATGAACATGAAGTAGTACACCCGGAGTGGCGATCTCGGCTGCGTGTCGAAGATGGGGACCATCAAAAGTGGAAACGCTCTCAAAAGGGTAAATTGAAGAAGTAGGCGGCATGGCTAGCTAGATGGATAACTCCCCCGTCGTG